AAAAAAAAAAAAAAACAGATAGTAAACAAACACGCATGAAGTCCATTTGAAGACTATCGGACCTCATTGAGGATAAGCAATAACACCTCCAGACTTGAAGTGCTATAGGAAGAAAGATATAAAGCCAGAATACCATGTAAAAGGTCTATTTTGAGGGCAACCGAATAACTCACATTACTGGGAAAAGTCTGACCAATAATGACCCCCATGTGTAGTTGAAATAGGACTCATTAGAGGCAAAATAAACTTCACTAATTTTTTGATAGCCAATCACACCAAAGTAACCTTGGGAACAGGAGCTGGAGCTCATAAAAGGTACAGTGTTGTTGCGTGTTGGCGTTGGCTTTAATTAAACATAATGCCAAGAGTTAAGGCCAATACTATCAACATCACAGTTCAAAGCATTCCGTGTTTCTAACCCCTATGACCAGCCTTGTCGCACCAGGTGAATGAACACCCTGTTCCTATGAGGTGCAGTCACTTCAAATGGTGCTGCAAAGAAAGTCAATCTTGGAGTGAGATGCAACCAATAACTGAGGAAGCAAACAACCTGAGGTAGACCTACGCCAAGCCGAAAATCAATGTGTGATGCACTTCGAGAAGCACTCAAATCTGAAGGTTTGTTGCCACTTTGTATCATAAAAGAGACGAATATGATTTGATACAGGATTACCCTTTTCTTATGAGGATAGTGACCGCTAACACTGTTGCTTCCATGGCAGTTGAGGTCAAAGTTTATAACCTGTCAAATGAACAAAGGATAATGCGATGGACCACTTCAAGGAGAGGACGCAAATAACGTCAAATTCCCATGGTCAGATTGAAATAGAATTTGTGATAAAAAAGAGTAGGAGTTTGGAAAATCACGTTTAGCATTCCAGTGGAGAGTGAACACGAAATGCTCATTCTAGATATATCGGATCCCTCCATGGAAATGAGTCGAAAAACCTCACAGCCAGCACTAATACAGCGGAGTGCACCTATCGCCGCTAAATCACTTCAACCCCCAAGAAGTGGAAGTAAATACGTGATGAAGGCCGAGTAATTTGATAACAAAGAGAGGCTTGGGTTTGAGGCGAGATTTGCTAGCGGCATTGTGATGCATAAAGGTAAATAGTGGAACCGGGTAATTTAGAGCGTCGAGAAACCGAAGGAGGATGAATAAGACGATACTTTTGGACAGCCGCAATAAGATAAGATTTGGCTTCTTTTTTTATTCAACACAAGGCGACAACTTTTACTTTGGTTTTAGAAGAAATCAATTTCAACATCAACCCGTAAGATGAGTTACGGAGCGAAATATTCGCCGAATCAGTTGATAGCATGGTCAGTGATGGGGCAAAAAATCTGAATGTAGTGGACGAACTGTTTGCAGTACCTTGACAGTGGCAAGTAATAACTACTAAAGTAACACGTCACTTAATGGGAAAAAATTTTCATGACTAGAGCAGAGAGACGGAACAGCCAACTGTTAAAACCGTTTTCAAAAGGCTGCAAAAACAACAAATTTCCCTTCAGTCCAAAGGAAGTTAGACAATCCAACTATTCTGCATTCGGATGGAGCTACCATCCGAGATAACGAGGAAACTGTTGCATTTCATCACCAGCAAAACCAATGCATTCTTCAAACAAGCCTAGATTTCGAGCGCATATTCCCATAATGATTGCTTAGCTTGCTCAACCATAGCAAAAAGGAGGCTGAGATAAGACATGTTTGAGGGGCACAATGCCATCAAGGAATTAAGAACTGGTAATTCACAATCCATTTAATTTGACGATTAAGCCTAGGTGCAAATGTAAACTATTAAACAGGTGATCATTTCTTCCAAAAGAGTGAGAAGGCTGGCACCCCTCTTCGCCAATAAAAGCTCGTTAGACACACAAGAAACAAGGGATGGATGTAAGGACAGGAGAGCTCAACTTGAAGCGAACCGTGGGCGCATACGCAATGTCTTGAGCGTGAACGTACATGCATTCGAAAAATACGAAGAGATGTTTACCGTTGAGTGAACACGCACGACAATTGTTGATAATGCTTATGTTTTTGATGATAGTGGAGATAATGCTGATGATGATGGTGCTGAAGGCGATGAAGTACACACACGTAATGGTGCATTTGTACACAGCACACAAGCAGCATAACTGAGCAGTGGCGGTGGAGGCAGAGACGGTAATTGCTTCATGGGGCTGGTAATTTGATTATCTGTCACCACCGGGTGTGCGCTTGTGCAGTGTGTGAGTTAGGGTGCGCGAAGAAGAGAGTAACGGATTGTGGCTTCAGAAGAGGTAATTGACTCAACTACCAGAGGTGCTGGTATTGCCGCCGTAGTAGCTCTTATTGTAACCACATCCGCTATCGTCCCACAAAGACCTTTGGGAAGTTAAAACAATTATGCATGGAAGAAGACTAAAAAGTGGGAACTAATTCCCAAATGCCAATAAAAAGGATTCAGTTGGCGTTATTCGGTAACCACAGTTACCGTTTCTTGAAATCAAACCACAAGACTCGAGGAAAAGAGATCTTCGAATCCCAATGCGATAGTCTTAAAGTGGAGAGTTCAAAATGAAAAAGTAAAGAAAGCGGACGGAGAAGACAGCCTGTGATCGAACGAACACGAGTCATAATGTCAAGCTCCTCTGGAAAAGCTATGAGCAAATCTGTTTTCGCTTTTGGTGAGGGAGAGTTCATTGACAGCTACTTGTGAAATCTTGGAGATGAGTCAGGGTTGAAAACGTGAAGTTATAAAAAAAGTGCTATTTGTAAGACGGAAAGGTAAAAATATAAACTGCAATCTTTCCATACTTGTCCGAATGAAAAAAAAAGTTAGAAGTAGATTTTGGAAAGCACATGCGGTAAATAAAAGATCGTTCTAGCAATTTCATCCTGATTGCATGACATGGCTCCTCAAAAGTGATACGATGAATCACAGAGGAGATGTGAAAAACAATCCGGGTCCGGATTGAGAGCTGTTCAATTATTCACAGAAAAAGCAAACACAGTAAGGACTTTTAGCTACAAAAACGTACCCTCTGCTTCCTTCCCTCTAACCAAATACAGTCAAAATGTAGGCTTTACATTTTCTTCATTCAGATCCACAGAATTTTAACTGTTTTTTGGGGTAAAATTTAAAGCCGATATTACAAAAAAGACTTTCAGAGAATTGCGAAAGCTTAAAACGAGTGGCCTTAGGATCCACTAACCACTGACTTAGACTAGGAGCCTAAGGAGTAACACTCGAACTTCAATGTTGTCCTAGATTGAAGAATAAGATGCAGAAGTTGAAATGAGAAGATGCAGCAAAACAAGATTAACAAGATCCACTCTTAAGAGTCCCCCCATTTCTGGTGAATTTTGTATTTTCTGGGCAGTTGTCGGCGGGTTGGTGACCAAAATTGCAAACACAGACATACTGACCAAAGGAGAAGGAAACAATCACTAAATAACTTAAAGCCAGCAATATTATAATGCTAAGTAATGGTATGAAATCACTTCAATTGCATGGTTTCAGTTTGAGCTGAATAGTTGCATTACAGCTTAATGCTATTCAATATACAGGGTTCTCAACCCAGACCTAAATTCTATTTGGAAAGAACAAAACGCATTTTCAAGGCCTAAGAACCAGATCATGAAGAAAATCTCCACTTAATCGATATGGAGAAGCGCTTGAGTATGCGTACTAACTACATCACGATCCTAGGGCTGGGATGACACAAGTAACAGGACGGCACTCACGTTGAGTGGACAAACCAGATCGAAGAGAACGGGGTGGTGGTGGGATGATACTGTAGCCGGCTTGGGCGAGGGCCTTGAGGACAATGACGAGGGCGACGGAGCTGGCGCGAAAGCGGATGTGCTGAGGTCGAACGCAGAGCTCCTGACTGCAAGTGTGCACCATGATATTCGTGTCAGTACTTGACATCGGTAGTCCATGGTACAGCATCCCTACTATGGTGTCCAGCCTCCACACCTACAAAATACACACGCACACAAACTTAGAAAAAGTGCTAATGGATTGTTGTTTCAGAAGAAACCGTCCGCTCATGTTTGATCCAGAAAATAGGTGCCAAAAGCCAAAGTAATAGTTGGACAACCAATTCCATTGTACAATTAGCTTCGGTGGTTTGAAAATTTGAACACAATAATGCATTAGACAATGGACCAAGGATAATAATATTCAAGCAAAAGCCGATTGCTCAAACGTTATTCGAGGTCAAATGGGGGTGGGAGGGAGGGAGGGGGTAGGTGAGTTCAAAAGTATTAATACAATAGGGCTTCTGCAACGAACAGAAAGCTACGCACAAATATGCACAGGCAGTTTGAATGGAGCGAACATGATTAGGAGAATTAGCATTGAAAACCCACTTTTAAGACACTCATCCATCCTCGATATCGTTGAATGCATAAGTGCCATAATACCAATGAGTAGTAGCGGGGAATTTTAAGCGAAGCATAAAATACCTCACAATGCATTTTCGGAACAAGGAAACATGTGTACAGGAAAACAAATCGTTTTATTTTCAGCCACTAGTCTGTTCAGCAGGTTCAGAGGATAAACAAACCGGTTTGGAAGCAGACACCTCAAAACCAGACAGGTGAAATCATAAAATATTTAAATAAACGCTAAAACCCGTCACCACAATCAATGGAAAGCGTCAATGCAGTGAATGAGGGGACGCGTCTTCTTCGAAGACCCACCGAGTGGGATCCCAATACCATCAATCATCTTATCAAATGCTCACAGTAGATTTCTTTCGTAAATTTAGACACAATGATAAAACCACTTTCAAATCTCGATGCGTCTATAGGGAAAAAAATGATAGCATTGAGGCCCAATAAGCTCTTTCCCGATGGTTAAACGAAACGAAAACATTTCTGTTGAGAAAAGTTCGTTTCACATTGTTATCCAGGGTACCCTTCGCAAGTAGGGACCAGGGAAATGGTCAAGATTTTAAAGGATACTCATCGACTTTAAAGGTCAAAATCAGTTATAACCTCAAATTTAGGGAAACCCTAGAGACTTGATCAAGCAAATCAACTTAACATTTAATCAAGGCGAATCACCTTGATTGGAAGCACCAAAACAAACTGGTAACGTTACGGAATTGAAAGTACGGAAATGGCGACTTTGATGTCAATTGTAGGGAGCATAGTCAGAAATTAAGATGTGCTTCCAAACTCCAGAAGACTTCAAGCATAGTATGACACAACGATGGGACGCTTGGTTGTTTGAGAATAGCTGAAAGATGTAAAGGATTCATATATGAGGTGCATGCACGTCAGTGATGGTCGTGACCATGATATTTCCCTGTTTACATCGCCAGGGTCATTCTCACGAACATTCGCTCGAGCCGTGAAATATGCGGTGAATCTATGCCTTAGCATGTCATAAAATTACACAGCAGATGAATGTCTCAGTAACAAGGGTAAGGGAAATGTTCCATCAAAAATTTGCGGCTTCGGAAAAGGCGGCACCTCTGATGCTCTAGTTGGGATCTTCTAGCGGTTAGACGGTATCAGAAGATCACTGCTAGTAAGAAGGACGTATTCGTTTGAACTAAGGACTCCTTTAATTAGTCAGGTTACCTGTCATGCGCTAGTCCCATCAAGAGAACCAATGTTAAAAGCAAGGAACATTCCACAAAATTGCCACTGACAAAGAGCCATAAATTGAATTTCTTTTAAGCAGCAGTGATGACGCGGCTGCACAACAGTAAAAGAAGATATGCATGAGGAACAATCAGGAAAAAGATCTAGGCAAAACCGACGCCTTCAAAAAGAGGGAGCAGGACCACAACTTGAGTAACGCATCAACCAATCCATATATGCGTATGAAAATGGGAATAAAAGGAAAGGTATGAAGTCGTTTATTTTCAGATTTGCTTTCCGGTAAAAGACGAGCAAACGGACCAGGATTGCAAGATACTACTAGCAGCTTAATCAGTACCATGAGTGATGGTGTTATAGAGTCTATGGATGCCACGAGAGGACAGCCCACGCACTGGCATGAAGAAGTAAAAGTAAAGCATATATCCACATAAATGCATAACTAGACGAGCGCAGCTGAGAGGTCAAAAGTTAACAACATTTAAAATACTGAAACATTAGACAGATATGAAGAAAAGGTAAACGAATTTTCAAAAAGCAAAACAAAATAGACGTGTTTGCCAGTCACAGTGATAACTCAAGAAGACTCGTTTACCAACTACTCACCGAATAGAAGGCTAATAACTAAGCCTAACACTGCCAGAAAAACAAAATTAAGTGTGAAGTTATGGACCTTAAAATGAGTAACACAGCAAATGGTTTAAATTTCCGAGTTGCAAATCGAAGGAATTATTTGATTCGATTTACATTAGAAATTGGACTCGGAGGTGTTTATTACTGAAATCGGTATTAAAGAGTGCCGTTACGAGCTGCGATCTTCCGTTGCGTAAAGTTACAGTAGCGATTGAACAAACATACTGAAGTCAGTAGAGATTTGAAGAAATGAAGAGCGAACCCGTCAACGAATAGCAGATAAAAGCCCATGACTAAAGTTTATTAATTTGCATTGAAGATGGGAGGGACAATAGTAGTAAGGAGCAGATTATCTCCTCCAAGGGTCAGACATCCCAAGAGAGGCAAAATTTAGCTCTGCATCCACTAGCGTACACCTGGAAGTGTTTATTACTAATCCAGCGTGGCTCATATCAGTAACTAGAGAAAGGTCAACCAGTGAGAAGTTTAGTGTAAATTTAAGAGCGTTTTACAGCCTGCCTCAATAACCCCGAAACGGGTCCCCCAAAAACTCTTAGAGAGATGCGCGGAACCATGGCAATTAAGGAAACTCTTCCAGCTCCATGGGAAAAGTGTTAACCCTTAAAACTCTACAGAGCAAGAAAGTAAAAAGGGGGTTTAATTAAAGACTGCCCGAATATGCTAACTCATGAATTAACGCAGTAACATAACTGGGGATCACAAAGACAGTGTATATTCAACACTCGGATTTAAAAAAGGAACGGTAGTTCCAAAGTGTATCTGTAGCATCTAGACGAAAAGAGCAGAAGCGAACATACAGACATCGAGAGGTGGGAGAAATTTAGCACAAAAGTTGAGCTGCATGTTGACACTCGGAGTAGAGTTTCAAGCTAATTTTGGAGGCATTCAACAAAGTACATACAATGTGCACGAGATAGCTTAGCATAAAATTGCATTTCTCACTTAGAAACTGAGAAAAAAGTAAAGGAGCCGAGAGTAGCAAAAAGTCAGAAAGTTAAACTTAAAGGCCCTATGTGCTGTAGCGTGCAGTAAGTGAAAGACGAGGCAAGCATGTGAAATAAAGTGCCAATACAAAAGTTGGGTTTATAAATAAGTAAGAAAGGGAGAAAATATCATTAAAATACTACTCAGTTAGAATTCAACAAGGACGCGAACAATAGAGATGCGGGGTGACGAAGAGAACACATTTCTAAGCCAGAGCCACATATTGCGCTTCAATGGTCGATTTATCAGATAGTCTTTAGCCAAGGTCCCAATAAAAGGGAATGGAAGAGTTGTGAAAAATGCAACTTGTCCCAGAGCACCGCAATGGCAGAAGTGAGAAATGCTCAGCGTCTGAGAACAAAGAAAAGGCATTGTCAACCTGAGTACAAGTCACACGAAAAGACGGATCTTAAGGGAAGCTGGAGTGAAAAATCCGAAAGTAATACCCTTATTCAATTCGCTAGCCCCGGAAGAAAAACGGAAAGTCAATCTGGGGGAAAGGAACTTGACAAAGAAGAACAGTGTGCCGAAATAACAAGGATTGCGTTCTAGAAAAAACCAGACAATTCAACCTTCAAAGTTGACGGAACATAGGCTGTTGAAGCATACCACATGATAATGAAGCTAAGAGCAAAAGGAAGGAACCTTTTTATGTTTCATAACAAAAAGTTTACAAGAGCGTAACACCAAAAGAAGTAATGACCGTCTATAGAGCAAGTCTAGATCTAGAAGATGCAATTTAGGTTAGGGTGGCATAGATTTCACCATTTACAATGAGAAAAAAAGCGGGACTCCCAAGGTTTGCGAAAAAACTAGAAACGAGACTTCCCAAGAAGTGTTCTTCACTAAGATTCAACCATGAAACGCTGGATGAAGGCAAGTGCTTACAACCATCGTTAAACTCTCCACCTTTTTAAAAAAAGTGGTATGAATAAAGCACTCCCCAAACTCCTGAAATGAGGTGATGCGTACCACAGCAAAAATACACCGCCCAACCTTTGAAAGAAGAGGAGCTTGAAGGTCGCATGAACCCTTCAAGAGTGAATACGCACCGTACTTCGTAAGAAACTAAAATAAAAACCCAAGAAAGTAGAAATGTTCCCGCATTCGAATAACGCAGATTGATACGAAAGGAGGGGAAATTTTAAGGCAGCTTCAGACAAACACTAAATAAACAGAAAAATAAAGACAAGCGTTATACCAAAACTCAGAACCTTGTTACTAGGGTTATGAATATTGCCAGACTGCAGATGATGTAAGCATCCCAAATCACAAAATGCCATATAGGGCTGAAAAGCAAAAAAAGTTGCATTTTGAAACAAAAGGGCTCTGACACGGAGCGCAAGAGGAGAAAAAAGACGAGCGACGCAGTGAGTTAACGCCTCACAAAGAAACCTCAGTTCTTGCGTAATCGCCATTGCTACCACCAGTGCGGTTGCGTTTACGTGTCGCGAATGAAAAGCACGCATGCGCGAGCAGGAGAGCTAGTGAGAGCGAGAGGCTACTAAAAAAAGCAGTCAGACGGACGGGCAAGCAGGCGAGCGAAAAGAAACAAAGAGTCAGTTGAGGTGAATGAGTCGTCGACCAGACGAACTCGTCAGCTAATCTCAAACGCGTAACGGGAAAGAAAGTTTTTCGCGCAACAAACACATCCCGTACCGTGAGATAGGGCAACATCTAACCGCAATGGCGCGAATTGCTTCCAGCCAAACCAAGTCGGCAGAATTCATAAATTGCAATATTTATCAACTCATTCTCTTCAGAGCAAAGCAAGAAGGTTCACTACTAGCATAGCTCCGAATCAAAATCCAGTAGCAATTGCGCAAGATCTTTTGGACAGAGACCAGCAAAATTATGTGGATCCGGAATCATCGGGAAAACGACTCAGTGAACGCTGTTACCGATGAAATCGTGGCCGTTGTCTCCAGCCCTGCTGTACTTTTGGATTAAAGCTGTTTGAAGCCCTACATTTATGACTACTGCTAAAATTGCAGTCCGACATTGTCTATATAGTTGAGGTTTTCTGGCATAAAAGGGAACAATGAAGAAAATGTGCCAACAAAGGAAACAAAAGCACAATGAAAAGCAGATCCAAACGCTGGCTTATTATTCATAACTGATTGATGATGCACTGACCATGCCTGCTGACATGGAAAGTTAGAAATGGTCGGAGATAAACATTTCACAACTGATTTCCTTATGCACCTCACAACTCAGCTTCATTGTATGCTGCACACTACCTGCCAACTTATAGTGTCAATTGGTAAAAGTTCACGTACCAAAATGAAAAAAAACGCTCGAAAGACTTGCCATTAAAAATTTCTTAACTAACGACTACTCTAAGCATTATCAAATGGTGCACTACCCGCTGATATTCAACGTAATATTTGTGAACTGAGAAAACAAAAAAGCGCTAAAAAGGAAAGGACGGAAAGGTACCTTATCCGAGCCCTTCCCACCGTCGATGCGACGCATGCGCCCCTTAGCGTCGGGCCGGCTGAGGACACAGCAGTCAGGATCATTGAGGGCTTCAGGGTCTCCCAACCAGCACTTGATGAACTTTAGCACGGAGTCCGCAGGCAACTCTTTGTGTAGCTTCTTCAGCAAATTTACCACCGTGTCCGTCTCCATGATCTGGTTCATTTCCTACAAGAGCGAGAACACCAACAAGGAAATACTTAAAACCGTCTTTGGTGTAACTTGGATACAAGGAACTATTCATGCATCTAAAGCAGAAATATGAGGACAATGACGAAACTAACAGAGGTTATATGTTGTTCATTTTAAGGAAAGAAGGGAGATATAGCAAAGACTCAGTTTAGGTAAACTATGCGCGATAATCGAGCAAAGACTTGATAACTTCGTGACTTGGTAAATATGTTGGTTCAACAAGATGGGTACTTACACAAACCAAAGATAATGGTTTACTACTGGGTACCATGGACATGGGGTGGGTCAGAAGAGCGTAAGATTGACAATGATGATAACTACTCGAGCTAGACTAAACCACACCTTCCAGTGCCTAAAAAATCGGACAAAGTGGCGAAAGTTGACAAATTATATCCCATTGCTAACTTAAGCTACTCGCCGAACTTAAATGCTCAAAACCCCAGGTACAAAGGAATGAGCACATAAATTATGGCTTCGGGAGGATAATAGCATAGGAGTAAAAATTCGAAAAGAAAGACCCACCCCAGCCATGCAGCATTTGTAGATAGTTAAATGAATAGAGATAGCATGCAAACCCTCTAGAATTATCATAAATTTGGTGGATAAGACATCCGATATCATTGGATTAACATTGTTCTGTTAACCTTTTCATTATAGCCTGTCATTATATGCCCAAGTTCGAAAGCAAGAGCGGCAGCAGTAAGACCTCACTCAAGATTACCATGAGGCAGGACAAATCATACCCAAGTTACTAGTCGGCATAAGCTAACAACCAAAGATTAAATTCCGCAAACCTCATTCTCCCTTGCGAAATTCACACAGAATTTCGATACAGCTCATTGCTAATTAGATTCACACAAGGTAAAAATTAAAAGGCAGTATAATTTAAATAAGCTTGAAATATGGGATCTGCAAGGTCTAAGGCACTTGGGAGAAAGGCAGTCCATGGAATCGACATCGGAATAGGAAATGCTTTAAGCAATAATCACAGGTAATGGTTCGGACGACTAGGAGATTTGTCCAAAGGTCATAAATGTAGACAGATGCAGTGGAAACTATCAATCAAGGCTGTAGGAACTAAAAAACAATTCATTTATCAGTAACTAACCATCAGGTCATTATGAATATGAACGGGGTAGACGATTCCATGCCTACAAATGCATTTTCATCACAAAAAAGACACAAGTTGCGAAAGGCATTGGGATGAAACGAAGCGTGGAATTGGTAATGGAAACTTGAAACTTCCCAGTAAAAAAATAATAAGCAATGCATCAGTAGTTAAGAGGCGGAATGACTTTGAAGTGTCGAAAATTAAAATTTTATAACACTGCCCAGTTTTCATCACTTAAGTCTGGTAGTGTGAACAATAGTAGTACGAAACATCTCCTCGACAAGCGATAAATCACAACCGTACGCGAATTTTTCCAGCAATGATGCTCCAATCGTTCTGAGTTTGTCCAGAATTTGTAGACGTTCGCCGATTCTCTTCGCGATTTCGCTCACGCATGGAAGAAATGCCTCGGAACCAGAGTGGAGCGATCCGTTTGCACCTTGAGACGATGATTTGGACAAATAGAGCCTCACTCACTGTGCTTGTCCGTGGAGGGCTCACAAAGGCGCTTCGAGACTGTGAATGAGGCGCTGAAGGTGCTTGCTGCTGTTGTTGTGGCGGAGGTGGTGGTGGTGGTGCTAAATTTGCGTCGGTTGAGGGCTGTCCAGATTGAGCCAAATTGACCGTGGTATCAAGACACTGATATTTGCGAAAAGATGTGTCCGTGGATTGAGAAGCGGGAAGACCCGGGGAGACCGAGCCATCAGCAAAACAGTACTCAGTCTTCTGCGGGGCAACGCCATCCGCTTTGAGAAAATCGGACTTGTTGTTGACAGCAGTAGAAGGAATTAGCATGGGCATGCAGGAATTTATTTCGGGAATATAGCCTTGCATCAAGGGAGAGGGTTGAGCAGAAACAGGAATGGATGGCGCCAAAAGTTCAGAAGCAAATTTCAGGGGCGGTTCCTGCTTAGGCTGATGACCGTTGGCATCTTTTGAAAAGTCCGTATATTGAGGCTGCAAGTTGGTATGAGAACAGACAACCTCTGAGGAAAGTTTGATGTTCTGCTGGTATACGCTACCGTAGCTTTCTAGCTTAATCTACAAGTAGTAAGATAAATGTAAGGATTGTTCTGCCATGAATACCTGATGTGATCCACCGTTAACAGTTGATCGTCGAGGTTGAGAATAGCCAATATTTGAAATAAAAGAAACGGATTTATCTGGCTCGTCTTGTCCATAAATAAAACTCATTAGGGTTATTTAGAGAAACTACAACATGTGACGCCACGCACAGCATAAACCCAGAAAAACAACCCAAAACATAGTCCGATAGTAGCGCCAATTTACACAGATCAACTTAAACACAAGTCAAGGGAGCAAAGGAAATGAGTAGTGAGCTTGCATGCTCACTGATTAGTGAAGCTAAGCCCAACTTTGCGGTGTGTTTTTATTGTCTCTACGTATTAAAACGTGTTTAAAAACACCGTAGTAATTTATCAAAGAAGGAAATAAAAATTCTTTTAACGAGTTACTTCTTTACGAACTAAATTACCACCGAGATGTAAGACCATCGTCGATGATCAAGATAAAGCCACTCGTTCTTGCCTAACTGTCAATTTGCAAAATATTTGAGCTTCGGAAATGTTGGCATTGCCCTCCTGTCCTCACGCTCTAGAACCACGGACTCCAAGAGACGGTTAGTTGCAGTACATTTATTAGGACCTGTATACAAGACGGACGGAGATAGGAGCACGGATGAGGTTAAGAGTAGACACCATCCAAAGGGGGACCTCTCACGGCCCTCACACACGGGACTCGCGTTTCAATTTTTTCCCTCCGGCCCCAATAAAGGTTCACTTAAACACTAGTATATATTACAGGAAGAACATTTTCATTGAACATTCTTCTAATTTTACCTTGTTTCTATTTGCATAATAATGCGAGTTATAAATAGGTAAGAAATTGTAAACATTAGGAGGGATGGGTGTAATGCTTTGTTTACGTGACTGCCTGACATTTGGCGGTCACTTTTAAATTTGTCTGGCTCCTGTACACATGGACTGGCTTTTGGATCACACTCAGGTCCCATTTGCTCTGTCGTCTTCGCGTACATGTATTCAACCTCATTTATGCCTTCTTCCATCCTATGGGAGGCCTTAGGAGGCTACACTGGTGGCAGTGGAAAGCGAATCCGACATTCTCTAAACAACTTTTAGGTACAAAGTGCTTGTGAAGAACTTCTGCTCCAGCCGAGGAGGGGTCTCTCTCTGCGGCTTGTTCTTCGTTGGTCGTTTGTTAAAAGCAATATTGTATTCGGAAAAATCTATTGTCCAAAAGACACCGCTGTCTTACTGACATCCTACGTTTGTGTTGCTATATCTTGCCAATTAATCGACTGAGTTCCAGAAAAGAACATTACGAACAAGACGACGAGCAACGGTTCGATCGGATGATGCACTGGTTCCATACATGCAGATGCCCCAAAATCAGGTCCCCTTGGCCGGAAATTCGAAACCTCCCTTTTCACGACAAGAAGTTTATAATCCAATCAGCAGACGAGACTGCAAAGGAATCCTGTTTTTTAGGGGAGAAATCCAAGATAAATAAGCGCATTTTGGTGTTTTGCACCGGCAATTATGAGCTATACATGCGTAGAAGGAAGTCTGATTATCGAGGTGCAATAGGTGAAGATACAGGCGAAAATGGGACGTGAATTGGAGGAGAGGCATTTACCTTGATGACGGACAACCTCTGAAACCCTCACAACTAAAGGGTTGAGACTGACGTCAGCGTTTGGTTTTACCTTGGTACCGTGTTCCACAGACAAGCTATAACCAACTGAATCGACACCGCTGCGAACCATCAGGAAAAGTTTCGTTTCGGAATTTCCCTTACGAAATCTATGTTTAGGTGTCGGAAGTGACGCTACGATTCTCCTTGCGTACGGGGCATGGCTCATCCCACTTTCCCTGTAACGTGTTTTAGACCAGAGTTCCACCGTCTATTCCCGGAAGCAATTGATGGTCAACAGGTGTATGCGGCCGGGATCTGATTGTCAGACCGAACGTACTTCTAGATGCAGTCAAAGCTGCCAAGGAGACCAGGTACGGTTCCTCAGTCTCGTGATATCTGTCGACTGGCACAGTTGACTCGTAGTTGCTTTCATGTAGTACCGAATATGTTGTAATGGCTGTTTGCAAGACTAACAGCAAACACACATAATAGTCTGCAAATTTGTCCTTCCTATAAATTTTAGTAACATTTTGACTCATTGCCTTACAGCACTTGTAGTATCCCTCGACTTCCCGCTCGGTAACATGGGGCATAAAGGTGTGGTCGAATATTTCCATCAAAGTAGCAAGAGTAGAGCTAAGGGTCTTGCAAGGCCCAATGTCAGCCCTCCTTTTGATGCCCCGTAGCTCATCTTAAAACACCTTCCTCTCCAATCATTATAGCGCATTTAGTGCTGCACAAAAACACTCACAATTCAGTCATGCCAATCATCGGTTCCTTTAGGATCGAGGAACGGTATCTGTCCCTCTTGGCAACTTCAACTTGTGTGGATTTGAGTTTGGTCTGGAAACAGATATCAAAGATGAGGACAGCGGTCTATAATTATTTTGCAATAAAAAATGCCGATGTGGAGAGGTGGTTTGCCTAATGACTGTTCCGACATTTAAACGCAGTTATACTAACGAAGCATCCCCAGAAGGCTCACTGCAATGTCACTTCAATTGGTAATAGCTAAATAGTGGAGTACAGGCGTGAGGTAAAAGCCAACTGCAGATGTCGATCTTAGCTCTTCTTTGTCCACAGTATATGCGCTTCATTTGTATCGTAGAAGTTCGTCACAACTTCCCATTTGGTTGTGGAAGACATAACAGTTTGTTAAATATTTGTGGTCAGACAAAAGATGGAAAGTGAGATATGTTTTGTTTGATTGCTAATATAAATATCGATCGCTTTGGGTACAAAAATTCCTTTATTTTTTTGCTAAAACTTTATTTTTTAAAAAGCTGCTCGAACGGCAGTTACCTTCGCATTTGTCGTGTCCTTTGAAGTTTGAGTTAGATTTCGAGCCAAGCCAAAGCTCCATCTCTTCCTTTTTCCTCTTGAAAATATGTATTTAGCTCAGTCTAATGCTGTAGCGCCTTCTCCCTCACTCTCTCTGTGCTTAATTTTAGTTTTCTTAGGGGAAAAGAAGGCTTAATGATTATATACTGGGCATTTCTTGTAAGAACTGTCTGCCTATCCTCGTGCCCTTGAACCTCAGACTTCAAGAGAGGGTTGGTTGCTGTAATCTATTCCAGTTTGTTTAAGTGGGCTTCGATAGGTGAGAGGCGGGAGGGGATTGGGAACGTGAATCACGTGCGTGAAGTCGGCGAGGAACCTCCGCCTGATTGGTATCTTTTCCTCGCCTCGTCTGTGTCCTATTCTCCCATCCTTCCTAACAGCGATGCCCAATAAATCCTCTACAGCCAACTTCCTTTTAAAGTCTGAGAATCAGGGATCAGAGTGTAGGCAGGCCGTAACTACAGTTGCAGATGATTTATTTGGTTTTGTTACAGGAAGAATGGGGAGTGGAATGCAGATGGGCTGAATAAAAGGTATCAACTGGAGAGAGACACCTCACAGTCCTCGCGCACGTGATTCGCGTTCCCAATTGGTTCCCGACTCTCTCCTATAAAAGTCCACTTGAACAATCTAGTGTATATTATATTGCTGCGGAAGCATATTCCACAGGAGTAGGGAGGCAACTAAGAAGCACTAGCTAGGCCTTAGAAGGACTCGCTTACTCCACTAGCATTGTGTTTGGATCAAACCTATTTAAAACTTCGCAAAACACATCCAAAGACACAATATATAGCGCCTCAGGACATCCCAGTAAATATAGAAGTAGGCATTAAGCAATAGCGAAAACATTTATTCTGAGATGATACGAAAGGGTTGAACTGTGGCTGTGCCCGAAGACCTGCCCAAGCGTACGAGAGTAAACCAAATTGAAAGTCACTACCATTCAAACAGGTGGTTGAATAAACAGTGCACTACACAACATGCACTAAAAATGCCTTCTACTAACTAATGGAAAATGCCGGTAAGCTACGGCTTAAGCTTGCCTAAAGTGCCGTAACAACGACTAGGTGTAATACGTACCAGTGTTCAAGCTGATCTGTAGGGAGGAGAGGCGTGAATCCGGTGCGTGAGGATCGTGAGGAATCTCTCTTTGGATGATATCTTCTTTTGGTTCGTGGTCCAAGTGCAAGACGGTAGGTGGGCACTTCCTAAGCTAGACACTTTTCGCGTTATGACCTTTACTTCCTACATCTATTTTTTGCTCAAATAAGATCCCGAGCTCTGCAACAACTTGTACTACCTTGACAATACGGTACACATTCAACTATCAGTAGGAAAGTTAAAAATGTGGTCAAATTGACCTGCATTATTTTACTTAAAATCGGAACTTAAGCCAAATTATAAGCAACAAACAAGCGTTTTTTGTTTTTGTTGGTTTAAATGCCATTGCATACAACGTTTGTTTTCATCGATTCTAACTTTGCTGGTTCTCTCAAATTTTCTGATTAGGTCCTTTTGGGCTCTTTGGTACCCAGTCTGAGTATGGATGCTAAAGTCTTCCCATCGCATACTGGTCCTTTGACTGATGCAAGGAGCCATACAATTTCTCCTACGTGCAGCGGCACATCTGTCGTTGGCATTAAATTCAAAGATGGTGTAATAGTAGCTGCTGATTCTCTTGTATCCTATGGTTCTCTGGGACGGTATACAAACTTTGATCGTGTCTTAAAGGTATTAAACTTGACCCATGTTTGACTGCAAAGGTTAATGAGCAAACCGTCTTGGCTTGTTCCGGTGACGTTGCTGACTTTCAATATCTTACCAAACTAATTAGCCAGCAAGTGTTAATCGAGAGCCTCCTCGGGGACGGGTTTTCGACCAGGTACTATAGTGCTTGTCTCACTGTGCTTTTAAAGTCCTCAGGCGCTTCATTCGTGGCTTACACGGGTCTTGTATCACCGTCGAAGTCAGTTTGATCCTCTCTGGAATAGTTATATTGTTGGAGGTGTTCAAAAAGACGGTACACCCTACCTCGGTTACGCCAACATGATTGGGGTCGGTGAGTTTCCTTTATTTGTTACCGATAAATGTGTCATTGGGAGTCTCCTGCTTCGGTATCATTGTGTTTTTCGCCTAGCGTTTACCGAAAACTGCGTGGCCACTGGTTTTGGCTCTCATTTGGCGGTTCCTATTCTTCGGAAAGTTATTGAAACTAAGGCGGATTCAAACGTAGCAAATCTTGCCTATGAAGATGCTCTGGCAGCACTTAAGGAGGCCATGACTGTCCTCTTCTATCGCGATTGCCGGTATGCTTTCTTCATAATTTTATGTCCCATCTCTATGTTTCACTGTATTTGACATCGAAAATGGATTGCTTGTTTTAGACTAGCCTGACGCCATGTGTTTCGGCGCATAATATTGCTTTTTCTGTAAATCTTCTTTGACAACAGTTGATGTTTCATTAGAACATTTAAACCCCTTCAAGATTATTCAATTTTCTGCATCGATTCATGTCCGTTGCCAACGCATTCGCTGTACTCCACCGACCAGAGCTGTGGATTGCTGTTTTTCGTAAATATGCTCTTGGCATGTTTAGGCATAGTGATTTTGACTGTAATTAAAGGAGTTGCTCGTTGTGAAGGATGCGTTCCATAGAGTCCACTGCTTTTAAAATGCTAGTTGCTTGTAACCAATTGCCTCGAGTTTTAATTTGAGAAATTCGTTGACATTCAATTTCTTTTGCGATACAGTTGATGCGACCTCTTCCATGCTTTCTGCTCATCTTTCAGCGCATTCAACATGTACAAAATCGCGGTGGTCACGAAGGATGGCGCAACTGTGAGCGAAAACCAGAAATTGGAGGCAAATTGGGAGATGGCAGGATCCATTACTGGTTATGAGTGACCCCTTTTCTTCGCCTCTTCTCCGCACTGTACCTCTTCTGTTTAATGTCCATCTATTCGACATTGCTTGTGAATATGCTTTTAGCGGTGTGGGGAGTTCATCTTTGTTGATTAGTCTAAGCCGGTTCTAATAAAAAACAAGGGGAAGGCTCGTTGATATACTTTGACGCTCTTCCCTCCTAAAATTCAGGAACTTCGTAAAACATGACGTTCCCTTACTTGGGTTTATTGTTCTTTGATCACACTGGCTGACAGTCTAACTAGCAGGATAGTTTTTTACACTGTTCGGCTCTCGTTATTTGATTGAAGGAAGGTAGGGTCTGCTGAACGCAACGATTTGCCAATCCTGGGACGGACAACTGCAACGCTGTCAGCGTTTCTTCTGGTAATGCTGGTCCGTAGTATAACTGTCACTCGCTCACTACGGAAAGCATGGTCATTATATTTGATGATGATACCCTCGGATGATAAATCTGCTAGCGCAAACCATTAAATCTCCCTTTTGATGCCCTCAGTGGTACTGCTTCTGCTTTTCTGCCTTTCTTAGGAGAGGTAGAGGTGTACATCGAGATTCTGAAAGGCTCAACTCAGCATAAAGGAAAAGGTTGCAACTGAGGTTCATTTCAAACTCGAATAACTTTGTCATTTTAGGCAGACAAAAGTCCTCCTATTCGCGACTGATTTCCTTCAACTTGGGTTCTCATATGAGTTGTCTGATTGTTTGGTATAGCCCACAAGTTGACCTTAATAGTAACAACTGACATCATGATGTCTTGACAAATTGTCAGGTTATGGAAAAGCGGAGGGGGCTGCAGATGTCATGCCCACTAATCTCAGACGCACACAACTTATCTACACAGGTCAAAAATAAGGGCTTCCTTTTGCACCGAAAACGGAGGGATAATGAACGATACATTTCTGTGGTACGATTAGTTCTACGCAGTGGTAATATGCTGGTTCACTGAAGTCTCTTAGAGGAACTAAATAATGATATTGCGTTGTGTTAATATCTCAGGGCAAACACCGTAGAGAATTTCATTGGCACGCTGGAACAAAACACGAAGAGTGCTAATATGTCATCATTGTTCGTGACAAGAACCGTGTTGGCATATATAAGGGCATTCGGCATTTTTAACACCTGCATAACTGCAATGCGCTCCTAATGTCCACATGAGATGTAGACAAGTTTTCGGAGGCTCGTCACAACCAAAACAATCGTTCAGGAGCTTGCCTGCTTAAGCATTTGTAAGAGAGTCATTCGCAGAGGTTTGGACATTGCTAAAAATTATCTTTACCTTGCCTTTAAGCAAAGACATGCCAACTGGCCAGTGGAGGATTGCCTAAAATGAGAATCCCATAGTTCACAAACACAGCCTTTAATTATCATTCAGAGCCAATGAAAAGTTCATGTGGCGTGAGTTCGTACTCAGTTGAACTAATTATTGCAAAGTCATGGTCAAAACAACCGCTGGTTCTTTAGCTCCGGCTCTTGACACAATGCCCCGATGCACCGCGCACATTGACACGCGGAGCAGCGCTGACACTAAACACGTGTAGGCAGTCCAAATTTGCTCGGTTGGTGTGGTCGTGCTGGCCGTTCCAAACACAAGTAAGTAACTCCTGTAGTCGTGTCTCGTTGGCTTCGGAGAGCATGAAATTGGTGTTCTATTAAGGTCGTTTCAACTTTTATCGAGAAATACCTATTAATTCTGTTACTAACATTTCATGAGTAGCATCACGGATTGAACCGCCATCCGCAAGCCATTTGTGAAGGCAGCATCAAAAAATAGTACTTTAAAATGGAATCCAAAATACAACTTTCTAACTAGTAGACCAACTACTGCTATAATAAAACGCAGAATGGATTTACACACAGGTTCCAAACCAACCCAAAAGATGCTTTTTAAACCACCAAGTGTTTGATTGCATTTTTGAAGAATGACAGGACAAATCCACGACAAGTAAAGGACTGCCCTGAGCAGATGATGAGGCGCATGCGTTAAAGCGAGTTAGTAGTGGATTCGAAGCCTTATTTCGAGGGTTTTGGTGCAGTCCTTTAACACTGCTTCCTTTGCACCGTAAACTCCTTCGAGTCGAATGTCCCGTTTAGTTGTCTGACCTGAATCTGCTTTACATTCTGAGCATTCGTTAATTTGGCTTTCCATATGCAAATAGACGGCAGCGTAAAAAGGCGCCAAAAGCAGCCATTTGTCCGAATTTATGGAAAAGTTTGAACAGCTTTTTAGCTGTTGGCTGCGAGCAGTTAATAGGGACAAACTACTGATAACAATTCCGCCTTTTCCTGCTTTAAGTGCTCTGATACCCTCGAAAACTGTCCCGAGGAAACGCATCCCAACTGACACCTTCAATCCTGCTGAAAGGCAACCGAGCCATTGAAGTCACCATTAGAAAAGGCTCTTTCTCATCAAGGCAAACAAAAGAAAGGAAGAATGTTACAAAATCTAGAGCAGAACCCAAAGGCACTGTCATCTCTGACCTCAAGCCCCCATTTTTTGGTTAGTCTTTTCAGGACGAGGATGAAGGGCCGCATTTTTACCACCACAGCTGCAGCCTTCGAGAAACTTGCCACGTCAGGACCAACTTTCCTCCGCCTAAATTGGATGTTATTTTCTTTGGAAAAATTCACTCTTAGTCCATTTGTTAGCTCACGAATCCCTGACGGTACAGTTTATCTAAAATCAAGGAAGGTGAATGTAGAAAGGCTGATGATATTTAAACAATGCAGCCCAACTGGAAGGATGTGTCCACATCATGGGACAGCGCCAAGGTGAGCTCTTGCATGGTTAGAAGAGACTTCTAAGTAAGCAGTACTCTTTGACGGACACTTTGCAAGAACTTAGGCGGTTTTGTGTGAAGAAGTGGCCAAACTTACCTTCTGCAGGACTCACTAAAACAGATGAAATATGTCATGGAAAAAAAAGGAATTGTGTAATGTTAAGTGGAGTAATAAAAGGGCAGAAAAACCATGGTGGAAATGCTTGAGTGAAGCCTCTCAAGCTAACAATGCATGGACTGTGGAGCGAGCACCAGCCATCGTCTTCAAGACTGCAAGAAGGGTTGTGAAGTTCCCTAAAAGATGTGCGCACCCAAAAGTTGGAGAAAAGTGGACAGGATTTCTTAAAATGCTTTAAAGGTATCAGGAGCTGACGAAGACCTTCCGCGGATGTTCACTAAAAACCTTGAGGAGAGATGATGAGTGTCAAGTTATTTTCGCTATTTTGGCAAACTGTTTGAACTTCTGAGCTGCTAGGGAAAATGCAATCCGACTTGTGGTTCGACTCAGAGAATCCTTACAAAGCGCGCCAACCTCGTCACTTTTGGCACCCAACTTTGGGTTATAAGCACTTGAAGTATTTCGGAATGTCGTCCAAATTTCATTAAATGTCCGAAGGTGCAAGACACTGCCACTTTGCGCTGAATGCAATCGACAGCAGTTTAACGGGAAAGCATTTTAGGCATGGCCGTGGTGGAATGCCTACGCACCAGACTTGTGATTCTGAAGCCTCCCACCTCATACGACGTGAAGGAGTTCAACATGACAACTTTCCATAAAAAAGATTTGTACAGCGAAGAGTGTGCACAAGCCTGCACTCGGATCGTTGTTGGCTTTTGATTCATTTAGGAAGGGGGTAGATCTTGCCCCAAGTTAGCTAAATAACATAACGGCAGAGATGTAAATGGGTCGTTTGCGGTGGTGACGCCCTGGCTCAATTTGCTTCATCAAACCGGTTTTAAGGCAGAAACCGAAAAAAAGTAATAATAATAATAATAAAATAGAAGTATCACATTGACTGCTGCAGTTTACATACTACTGAAATCTCAAATTTGGCAACCACTAAGCAGCACCTTAAATTGTCAAAAGTGTACTACGCATCATTTCTGAATTAAATAATTCATTAAATGTGATTGCGTGAGTTGTGGACTAATCTTCCCACCCAAATTGAACTTACTTTCATGCCGCCCTGGCCATCATTTTCAACGCAAAGCAGCATGGGTGTGATCCACATTGTCCATACAAACAGGTCCCTTAAAACTTGAAACATCAAACACGTGTTCCTGTCTCATTAGAAAAGCCAGACTGTTTTAAAATGTGACAATTGAGAATAAAGCTACCGCTGTCTTTAAAGTCGTTTTAGGTTGGAAAAGGTCGACCAATGCGCTGAACACGTTTTAATTCCCAGTGAATAACGCCCTTCTGGAGAAGCCTGAAGTAAATGAATGGAAGGTCGAACTATTGTGCTCGACACTTCCTCACAGTTCCCTTAATGCAAAGATTTATCAGAGTTTATTTCTTTTCGGAGCCAGAATGCATAAATGCGGGTTGGGTGGAGCTTGTCGCTAGCATGTTTGCAACGGACCTTTGCAGTTCAGGAGCACATACTACTTAAGTAAGTAGAAGGATCCTGGGAGTTTGCTGCATGCATCAAAGCTCACGCAGCCCAGTGGAATAAAGTCCCCATCAGGGTGAACAGGCAGTTAAATGAGAGATGTACCCGTTTTCCCACTTATTTCACGAGAGCGATTCGTGTTGTTCCGCCTTTGTCTCTGCAGAGGTCTACTTTCGCTAACTTAACCGTACAAAAGTAAGGTTACCTAAATTTAAACCTTTAAAAGCTGACTGTGAAGAGAGTGCAAAAATTTTCGCAACAATGAATACGCATTTTCAGGCTTCATAATCACCTTGTCAGTATGTTATCCGAATTCGCCAACTAAAGAGCTTTGACAATTTTCGAAACAATTCCCTTCAAATCGCTCTTTCTCCATCTCTAATCTTCCTGCTTCCCATTCCGCCCCCTCCGCCCTCCTTGACGATGGCACCATCGATAACGCAATCTGCGTGTTCTCTCCATTTTGTCTGCATCGATTTGCCTCCCCGCATTTTCCTGAAGTAAGGAATGGACGTGGGATTTCGCGATGGACGCATTAGTACTGACAACTTCCACTGAAGCGTTGCTAGAGCGTTAACACCGAGCGACTATTGACAAAGATTGTAGTGCCATCCAAGCTCTCTATGAATATGCAAAAAACCATTGTAAGCGAGGCGAAGGCGACGGACGCAGATCGCAAATCCACTGGAGACTTTAAACACACTCAGTGGAAATAAGTGGGAATACTCTATTATGGCACACTCAAATTAAATACGAACCAGGAAGTCGAGGAGACTACAATACGAATAAAGATAAACCAAAATCAAACTTTCGCAATCTCCTTTACCAAAGAGTTTGTGAAACTAAAGTGTCGCGTCTTTCCTTTAAACGACCACGATGGGATGCAAATTCGTGCGTGGAAAAATTCAGACATTCATACATTAACGTCTGAGAGTCCAAAAAAAGCATAAAACAATTTGTCCTTCCCATGCCTTCCAGACGTTAGTATTAAGTCTGATATCAAGCGCCTTTCACAAAGTGCCTTGGAAAATGGCTAAATAGAGTGGCGGCGTCAAAGAATAGCGCAGCGTGAAATTTGGTATACAAAAGACATTCCCATTAAATCTGAAACCGAATGTCTCGCACTTGAGGGTAGTCTCAAATACTGCGTCACACGTCTTTGATTGCCAAGGCGGATTCGAACAACTCGACATTGTACTTAGAAGGAGAAGAGGTGGTAAACTCTGATGGCATTGGAATCGGCAAAAAGGTCACGTAACCCACATGAAGGTTTTGCAAACAAACAAAAAATAGCGTTAGTCGATGACAACGCACCAGTGTCTTACCGTTGGCATTCCATTTCCGGGTGGATAACGAAAAAAAAAGTAGGCCACATACGTTTCGCTGTTTAGTTTAAGCGCATATGCGAATCACTGAGAGCTTCTTGTCTCTTCACCCAACCATTTCCAACTGATGTGGTGACAGGCTTGGCAACGATGCACCTCCACTGCTTCTGGCGTTCATGCCAGTCACAAATTTACCTAGTTTAGTCCATTTAGTTAAATTCGCCTTCTTATCCATCAGTTTCCCACTTAACCTTCATCGAGCTTATGCTTGCATTCTGTTTGGTCTGTGACTCGTTTTCAATTGCTCTGACATTGACAACTTGGAGGCAAGGACAAATCGTTGAACCGCTTGTGTGGGTGATCAGGTCAAAGCTTGAAATGAAGGATCAAAGGAACGATAAAACTTGATGCCAAACTTAACACATTTGGCAGTCACTTATCGTAGCAAAACAGTTTTCCTCTCTTCCACCTGCGCTAGTCCAACAGGTAATTTCACCTCCCTCCCCATCCACTTCAAACACTTGACATCGGGAGCAGCGGGTGGTTTGCAGATAACAGCAACTTGGAATTTCCAGGCAAAAGTTATCCACCATAAGAGTTTCTGCCAAGGTTTACTAGAATCTCATCTCTGAATGATTTAACGAAGTTTAATTCATGCGCGTCGTTGTCTATTGACTCTGTTGGGTCAACAAAATCATTTAAACCTTGAGAGACTGTTCGTGTCAATAACAAATCTGACACATTCCATCAGACGGAAACGCCACACGAGGTGGAAGTGATTCAAGGACCTAAACTTGCATAATTTTCGCAGTAGGTTCTGGGGACAACGATCATCCCTGTTCCTTCTGTAGCATTCCGGGACCTTCCGCTGGGTGGAAGAAGGCATAAAGTGGAGCCGAGTACATCTATTCTAGGGGGAAGAAAGGAGTTAAGCCTGAGCTTGATCCGAACGCCAGCCCACGCGTACACGAAACAGACGAATCTTAAGGTAGCCGCCGGGCATCAGATGGTCACATAAACAAAGCGTTACGCCTTCATCCTCACCCACTTGGCTGCCTCAAAAAGCAGTAATGCAAGCGCCCATAGCGAAGTCGAAAGTGGTGACGCCAAGTGGCATGGACAGAGTTTCATGGCAGTCACCTTTTAGAGGAGTGAGCATATTCCATGTGGCGGCGGAAACCTTGGCGATCGGAGCCTTTGAGGAAGTCTCAACATCCCGTCGATAAGGGTGGACGCATGACCAATTGCTCATGACAAAGGAGAAGCTGCGTCACTATCAGAGGAAACAAATTTGGGTTGAATTTGAAAGCAATCTCGTACTGGAGATTAGAGTAAAAGCATTTTTAGGAGATAATTAGGATACAGGAATAAATTGAAGATAAGACAGTCACCAATAACAAGAAATTCCATATTGTATTTAAGATGCATGCAGCGGAATTTCAGCAACAGAATTAAGAGTTCTACCTACTTGCAATTTTTCGTTGCCATCGGTGTGAAGCCTTCGCACAAATCGAAGCGAGAGTGCGAGAAACTGATCTTTGAGGCGCTAATGGGAGAGCGGTTCAAGATGTCAGCATAGTGTGTTGACCTCAACTGGTCGGGGAGGTCTTCCAAATCAATGCGATTACCGACGTGATTTCCTCTTCTTGTCACCAAATCTCTGATTTCAGCGCACCTAGCTGTAGTTCTGAGCGTCACCTACTCGTGACAGGTCGAAGCGCTGTCCACCTTCTACGCTCCCCTCCGTTATTGTCATTTGATGAAGGCACTCCACATCATCCAGACCCTCCTTACACCACTCTACATGGCAGCTGCGAAGGTACTGACATTACACCTAGGCGTCCAGTCAATGCTTCCTAGAATTGTTGAAAGGAAGCCAAAACCAGCTGCTGGAAGTATGCTTGATCACCTGACGCATCGTGGCGCACGCTCGAGTGTTGAAGACAATGAATGAGGATAGCAGATGCTAGGCTTTGAGTTGTGCATGTGTCGATCGTGCACAAGTTGTAAGTTCCCCAACTTTGGTGAGGTAGTACAGAAGTTGGAAAGATTTAGAGGAAGTGAATGACAACTGGGAAGTGGAGAACGATTACGAGGGGAGAAAAAAAAATGGTTTTGAGGAGTGACTCTGACTACTACAGCTGGGCGGAAAGAGGACGGCAAACTCATGCACATAGTTATGCACAGCAATCCAAAAAAAAAAAAACACTGCCAAAGGACACAACTTCAACTCTGCGTTTTTGTATGAACATTTCAAATACATCCGATTTGGTAGAGGCGTTTGTATAATCACTCGTCCACTTTCATTTGATCGCTTGACTATACAGAATTTCTGAGTTGGAGGGAATTGTGCGGTGGTCATGAAAACGAAATAATAGGCCTTTCATGATTGTGAAAGATCACTCTGTTTCGTGAGAATCGTCAACTTCACTAAAAATCTCCATCTCCAAAAAAAAAAAAAAGAATCTGTACAAATATCTCCATTCGTGGTGAAGGGAGATCACCTATTTCATGATCTTTCTCCCAACTCTTGCCTTACCACGTGGTCACAAGGTCGGAGGCATTGATCTTCTGATCCCACTGAATCTGGCGCAGTCGCAAACACACACAAAGTGAGTGGCACAACGTGCGGAAAGAATAATGTCAGTGAGCGAAGAGAAAGTGAATGACCTTCAATTGCGGGAAGACTGCTACGGTGATATCACTTCAAGGTCCAAGGTCGATGAGGGTGAATTAGGTCAAAACCGCCATCATGACAGTCCCCACTACCATCAGCGTCATTCCAACCGCTCCTATCTTGACTCAAAGTCTACAACCGATCCAAAACATACAGCGCCTCTCCTCACCTCGCCTCCAGGTTTAATTCGTCGATTTGCGGATTGCGATCTCACTGGAGACTGTCAGACTCATGAAACAACGCCACCAGAGTCAGAACTTCCAACTGGCTCCAGCATTCCTGGAGACAATAAATCCTCACAAAACACAAAGTTGCTGATTTCAGGAGGCAGATGGAAGGGCAGATTATTCCGAACTCTAAAGAAAAAGGTGTCTGGTGGAGAGAAGTTGATAGATGAGAGTGTAAAAGAAAATAAGAAGGGAGTGAGAGAAAGATGGCGTCGATTCAGGCCTCTAAAGGACATCTTTCACCTCTACAGCAAAAAACGATTGGTTCGCAAATTGTCGTTCCTGGATGACTGAGTGAATGGAGAAGGTCAGAACAAGGCCAAAGTATTCTTTTGATTTAAATTTTGGGTGCGCATAGTTCTCCCTCCTTTTTAAGGTGCCGAACAGCAAAAAAGCGTCTTCACGCGTTTCGATTCAGTGGAAGCCCTTCAACCGAGTTAATCTTCGAAAATATCGTTACCATTATTTTAAACAGATATTCTGTTAAATCTTCCGCCTTCCTTGCTTTGGATACCCATCTAATTTCGATAAAAATTCATTTAAATCCTAAGACTTTAACGTGTTCTATTGACTGCAATGCTGATTGCTTGATGAAGCCCCAATTTCAGCATAGATGAAGCCAACGTGAGAGACAAGAATGCGTTTTCAAGCATGTGATGCTCCATCTCTCCCACATAGCTGCTCGAGCCTCAAGCAGGTGAAGCTTACCACCGGCCAGATCGCGGAGACCGGACGTGCCAAGAATTACCGCATTCAAAGTGGGTCGGTGACCTTAGCCTGAAAGTGGAAGTGACCAAGTTTTGAGAGAAGCCAACTTTGTGGGCGTGTGATGGCCGACTTCCCTATGAGACAGATTGATTTTGCGATCTTTTCAAGTCGCTGTCTCGAAGTGAAAAAGAGGTAAGGGAACTGGGAGCGCAACACTCTTAGAGGGGACTTATTGTTGGGATGCTAAAATGTTAGGAGACCGCGGACTCTGAAACCTTCAGTAAATAGAGAGCTACACTTGCTGGAATCAAAAAAAAATGCCACCTCAACAGTGGATTTAAGGTATTGAGTGTTTAATGGAAGTAATAAGTATTTGAAATGCCTTCCTTGAGTGATTCAACGGCAAAAACTACATTTCAAAAAATCGGTCCCAGTGCTTACTGAGTGCCGAGAAGACCAACGCTGTAGAGTAATTCCAGAATTGTGCTTTGCAAACGGACACCACCTTTGAATGCATCTCGAGCCGACGAGCAGTTCAGAGGCCTCCGAAGCCCCAGACGAAATGATTACAAACGGATGAGCAGCCTCTTTACAAAAATCTATCCGCTTAAAATTCCTTTATTACACTCATTTGTACACAAAAGTTTTCTAGCAAGGTGACAAGTCAGCCTTAATATGTATAAGCTTGCTGGAGAGGGAGGAGCAAATACTAAATTACACGATCAAGTGGATTAAAAGTGTGATATGAGATGAGGCAGTGGTCAACCATGGCAACGAGTTCAAGACTTTTCATCGTCCTTTTCTTCTGCCTTCTTATCCGCATCTTCATCAGCCTTCTTTTCTTCCTTTGGCTGCGCCTCTGCGCCTAAAACAGCATCAAGATTTCAGAGATAAGGAATAAGGCCTGAAATGTCTACAACTTCATAAAGTGTGTACACCCCAACTTTTTGCGCGTTCCACTTCCTTCTGACCGCCTGGCACACACGCTGCCGGTAAAAAAGGGTGTAAGACTACGGTCAAATAACGGCTTTAAACGCGTGGGACTAAAACCGATCTGGAACTTTTGGCACCCTCCTCCCTCTTACTACTTGCTACTATAAGTCAGGAACTAGAGAAAAGGGCAACCACCATTTTGCAACAAAAAGTTTATCTTGAAGGCGCGAACAGGATACACGATGTTATTACCTATGGGGGTCGAGGATTTGCCAGCTCGTAGAGCACGACAGAGGCTAGATAGGCTGTCAACCTGTTTCTGCAGGGCCTGTGTTTTCTCCTTTTCTTTGCGACATTCGTCGATCATGTCCAAGAGAGCCTTCTGACTCACCTCCCATTTGCTACGCCACTCTAGGGCTGCTGATTCCGCAGTGCGCACATGTTTCGTCATCTGGTATTTCAAAATAAACACAAAATACAAGCCATGGTACCTAGGCAGCTGACGACTACACTGTTCTCAGTACTATATGGCTGACTCTTCTTGGTAAGCGCATTTCGAACAACTTAACTTTTCCTTACTGCTCCAGTGAATGAACCAGAATAAATAAAATTAGGAAACTACTGTTAGAAAATTCTACCTCCATTGAAGGCTCGCAACCTAGAAGTGCTTTCGAGAGGTCAGGCTAAATATAGTCCCATTAGGGGAGGTGAATGAAGCGAATAGGTGGTCCGCGAAATGGTTGGGTAAAACCAAGATTCACCTCTGTTATGCAAAAAATTTCGACGCGAATTTCAGTATCCATAGTCCACCTTGAAACCAACAACAACACGTCCACCACAGGAAGCAAACAAATGGAGAAACCCATCAGATGAATGTCATTTATCCACGTTTAGGTAGAATATTGAAACGCCTCTTTCAGACAATTTCTGTAGGAAAAATTCAGCTCACCGGACTGACCACATTGGCAAACCTCTTTACTTCTGCATCCAGTTCCAACCCAGAGATGACTTCAGTTGGGGAAGAGAGCATGCAAAAGAGGTAGGAATGAACCACTGTTAGTGAGCTGAATGGAAATGAGACGGAATGAAGACCGAAGCCGAGAAAAAGGTCCACTTTGCTAATAGCAATGCTAATAATGACTTGCTTAGTTTTTCGGTTTTAGCGTATCATTGTTTAATCGGATACACTATAAAGTACAAATAAGAATGTGCAAATCCACTCATTCGACAGCCGCTTTTGTGCCTCCAACTGCCACTTTCTGTATGTGAAGCGATTCGAGTTCGCCGGCTTTAGGAATGGAGACTGACGTGGCTCCCAAAATTGGACCAACTTAAAGGAAGGCTCGAGAGAGGAAGAATGACTTCGAAAAGTATGGCTCCAGTAACAAATAGCAAGTCTCCAGACAACCATCCATTAGTAGTTAAAGTAGACAACTGTCTTCCGTTTGACACGTCATTTTGTAACCAGGACAACTCTTCCAATATTCAACTTTATATTAAATTAAAAAAATTCTTCAAATCCCCACCAACTGGGAAAGACAGTGAAAAAGAGGAAGCCAAACTCCTACCAATCAATGGACAAGAACAAACCTCAAAATAAATCAGCCTTTTGACCCCAATTATTTCAAATTCTGTAGGATCACGTGCGTCCTAAACCGCCTTCTGGTAGGTTTGCGATGGAGACCGTCATTTGCATTCCGATGCCAAGCCAATGAACACATCATTGGCTATCGCAGCACATTCACTATCCACACCACTTCACACATCCAATGAAAGTACCGCTTCTCAGGCTGACGATTGTGCTTGCTTTCCCCCCACATCTGCATGCACACTAATGCAGAGTAGACTCAGTCTTCCACCAGGGTCGCAGCGGGGTGGTGAGGATCAAACATTCCCTCCATTTGGCACAACTTCGCAACGTTCAAAAGTTTGTGAGGAAAAAGTGTACATAACATTATATATCAGGCCAATTCAAGAAATGAAGGAAAGATAGCGTTCTAACCCCATTCACACTGTTCGCATTGCCTTCGTTAACAAGTTCTAAGCCTTACATAACCACATGCACAAACGTAAACGAGAATTAGCAATGATTGTTGGTAAAACTGGAGGGAATGTTTGTTATTTTACTCCCCTTCGAGAAAAGGTGACGGACTTTTACACTGGCCATCCAGCAACTAAGCTATTTAAAGGCGATTTCTGTAAACACGCAACTTGTCAATAGGAAGTGGATGAAGTTTATGGATGGCTTATTGTGAATTATTGAGGAAACTCTGGTAAAAAGGAGCCCGTCCACCTAATTCCAGCCCCCAAAAACACATTTGTGGTTAAAATTGGAGACGAAAATGGAATCAGGAGTGTGACTCAGATTGAGCGACAGACAGTGTTATGCAGTCCGATGATGAATATCTAGACGAGATGCTTCATAATCAGAGGAACATTTAAGCATTCATCTTGCCCAACACCAAAGACAGTCTGATTAGGGGCTTGTCAATGAAGTCAACTCACGCTATTGTTCACTAAGAATTAGCACTGAATTGCAACACCCATTTTGCTTTGTGCCTAGGAAAACAGTGGAAATGAAGCATATTCGACCCATAGCTTCAGATGAACATCCTTATGATTTCAGCTTTAGACTGATTTTCCTAAAACCATCCGTTTCCTTTGCTTTATAATGGAAGGCAACATTCATGCGCACAAATCTTTAAAATCAAATTGCCCAAACTGCCTACTTTTAGGTCTGCTACCTCGACCTCGCCTAGCTGAGTTGCGCAGATGATGTCCACCTTTGGTCTGTGATGAGGAGTTACACGGACTCCTTCCCTTTTATGCCTGTAGATCTTCTACAGCCGGCTAACAGAGAGCACTGTAAGCACCATGTAGAGGATCGAAATAATAGTGCAAATCCCTTATACTAAGCGAGAATCACAACAATGCTACCGTTTGCCAAATGGGAGGATGGACTCATCAGAAGTGTGCTGTGATGACCACCCTGTGCAGTGATCCATGGATTCGATAAATTGTTGACTGATAGTGAAAATGAAGTGTTTCAAACAGACTAGCATTGACTGACTATGAGTTTAAAAGACAAAAAGAAGATTGCTAAAGGTCACCAACCTTTAATTAGGAACACAACCACCCATTTTAAGATGCGTTACGCGAATTTTCAAAGACTACTCAATCATCAAAGGCGAGGTGTTCCATTATCCTTACAATGCTAAACAACAAAAGAAAATCACAGATCCATCCCCACATTTTTAACACAACTACATCGTGGAACGAGCACTGTTAATGGAGAGCGCTGAGCAGATCAGCTAAAAATCCAAGGCACCAAATCGGCAATTGTACGCAGTGTTGTAGCAAACGCTCACGAGGGAATTTCCAATTTTACAAAGCTTGGATGCCTTGAAATCTGTACAGGGACCAAGTCTCACGCGATAGCGTAACCCCCATTCCTATGCCACAATTCGACTCTGAAATTGCGTAACAAATCCAGAGACCAATTGGGAGGTAAATATTAAAAGCTCAATTACACGAAAAATGTACTGAAGAGCCAATAATAGGAAGACTTCCTCGCGATTTCTTGCAAACTCACTAAGAATTCAGGACTAATTTATCAATAACAAACGGGGCTCGTGAGACAACTTCATAACTGATATGCATAGAAGGACTGTCGTTCAAAGGAAACATTTGAGGTCGTAACGGCGATTAATCACCAGTCCCACCAAACCGTTTGATACCTGGGTCATGACCACGAGATGAGTGGAATTTTCTCAGGTATTAATTATTACCACCTGTATGAAAGCCCCCACCAGAGGCACCCACGTACACGCACCTATTGAGTGCTTTCTATAGGTACATCGTGAGGACTTGGAGTCATTGCTGCTCCATCAGACGACACCAACGCGTTGACTGCTTAGAAGCGTCGAAAAAAGTCAGCGAACGAGTGTATGCTCTGAGTGCTATCTCAGTCAAATGGATTGCAGGAAGAAGAGGATTAAGAGAACTCTGAAACCAGCGTGTATAATTTTGTTGAACATGAAAAGAAAACTCAGAGTAACTGAACTAGGACGACTTTATAACTACTTCTTAACGAATCGAGAAAGAAAAAAATGACCAAACGTAAACCAAAAAAATTTCAAATGGATTACTGCTTTAGTGATGGTAGGACGTAATGATAGGATACATGAGGACCAGGTCAGTTACAGATTTCTTGTGCCTGTCGACATGAATAAAACAACCAAAAAATATTCGGCAATAGCTAATGGCAAACACTGGCCATGATGAAGCAGTTTAAGCAAAGCAAAGCTGAAAAGTTTACTTTGTAGCTACCGGCTGATGCAAAGATGGGTGGCTGCTCCAAAAATCTGGCCTCATCTGCCTAACGAAAAAGATTAGCTAAAAACATATTTGGGCAAGAAAATACGCACTTTTTGCATCTCCTTCTTGGTGTTTTCGATGAGGTCGTTGCTTTTGGCCATAGTTTTATTGAAAGACTGGTATTTGTTCTTGTAAAATTCAATCTAAAAATATAAAACAGAAGGACGAATAGAAATGAACCCTTTTAAAAAGCAGACAAGATATGCTTCCCGGGAAGCGGATGGTGCTTCATTTGCACTATGTAAATGAAGTCCAACCTCAATTTCTTTAGAATTAACATTGGCAAACACTACAAGGGTAAATTAAGATTGGCCTGAAAGAATCGGGAGTCGCAGAAGAATATAAGACGGAAGTTATTACCATCTGTGTACACAAATAGGATTTTATGCATAACAGTTTGCCTGGAAGGTACAACCTCGCGACTTGTAAATCTTAACTATGAGAATTAAAAGGCATCAGATGATGGTGCGATGCAAGACAGGTAGAAAAGCTCAAATAACGGTCACTTTTGGAGAAAAAAGAGTCTAAATGAAATCACTGACATTACTTGATCGCCAGGCCTATAGCAATAAGGGAGACTTCACACGAAACAGAAAGAGTGAATCAACGACTAATTATTCATCGACGCCTCTGAAGCAAACCAGTGGGAGAAATCACATCAAAACAAATGGCAAAGAGGAACCTTGATTCCAGTGTCGAACAAGGGGGAAAATTACTTGCTCTTTGAGCTTCTCCTCCACCAATTGGTGCGCCTCGAGACGCTGTTTAAGAAGGTTGCACTCCTCTCGAACGCGTTCCGTCTCACGTTTCTCACGCAACACCGCTTGCTCCTGAACTGCCCGCGCCTGAACCGCCTTCGCCTCCGCCAGCTTTGTCTCCAACTCTCGTGTCTTCAGCAGCTGTAACAGAATAACGAATAACGAAAGACTTGCTAGTTTTATACATAAAATATGGTGGTCTCTTACTAAACTAAAGGGGCGGTACCAACAGAAAGTAAACATAGAAATGAGCAAATGAGGCAGTAGTGTCGTCAGAATGCAAAGCAAATGCTCCCAGTGACGCCAAATATGGAGGCTATACATAAGCCATCGAGACGAGTAAAGACTAGGACTGACGAATTTATAAAAGAACACAATTCACATTAAAGGTTGCCTGACATCTGTAAAATTGAGGAAGAGGCTGAGTACGGTCAAACCATTCCAGAACAGCTCCTTTCACTGCTCAAAGGATCCATGGGTGCTCAGCAATGGGTTAACTTATCGAAATTGTAAGTTCATGTACGTGGTAATTGCCATCGCTATTCCGCTGGACAAATTACTTCAAATCCAAAACAGGCAATTGCATCGAGTGAACGATCACAGGGGTAACTGCTAGAGCTTTGGGTCAGGAATTACCTTAGTCGAGGTCATCACCGACACTCTTCATTCCAGCATTCGCAGCGTTCAAACATATCCGAAATTGGTTGGGCGTTCCATCAATCACCATAAGGGGGATACCTGGAAGTTTAAATTGTGGACGCCCCGTCCCTACCATGCGTGTATCACCACTACTGACTCACTTTTGTTGGGACTCCGTACTAGCCCAGAAGCCGCGTGCGCGTGTGGCGCGTGCAATGAAAGACACCCTCTAATTAGTGCTGTGTGTAGCAGCAAAACAAATACTGCCTTTATAAAATCTTGCCAAAACAGAGGCCTCAAAGTGGCTTGCATAACTCTGTACTGCTGCAAGAGAATATGGCATACATAGTTGCACATAAGGTTAGAAGATATTCACAGTCAGATACCTTAAACCATAGATTCAGAATTCTACGCTTTCAGCAGCTATAGGAATGGCAGATTAAATCTTGATTTTTCCTTACACTTGCACCCACTCTACTATGTCTGCAGATGCTGCGGCGCCAAATGTAAGCAAGACGAACTTACTACTCATCAGTCTTCCCAATCAAAGCATGTGAGCCACTTAGGCAAAAGTTTTTAAGAAATTTCCAAGGGAAGTGTCATAGGAACCTAACGTAGGTACCCAACAGTTACTCAATCAGAATACAGCGTAATATTTTGCCAAGTGAATTCCGAACATCGAAAAGGTCGATCACAAAACATGAAAACCGTGCGACATTTTTAACTTTTTGCAAAAATAAACTGTCAGTTCGGCGCAAATAACAAATTAAACCTTTGTTTAGCTAAACGCACAAATACGTCGACAAGAGACTTCCCCTTTGGATTTTCTTTAACAAATGTGACTAGGCACGAATAATTGTGTTTGAGAATGAATGCTCGTAACATGAAGAACCAATGACACTGCACAAACATTAAAATCATAACTGAGCTAAGTAGATTGCGCAAAAATTGGTCATCTTACAGATCTAAGAGACACAGATGGGGTACTATGCTAAAGTTATTGTATGATTTTAAGCAGCAATGAAAATCTAGACATTGTCCACAATAGTATTCATATCAACGATGACTGAATGCAATAAAAGGAAATTGGTGAATACTGTCTTTATTTAAAGAAAAGAGACGATAATAAAAATAGTCGAAACAAAAGCCCTAAGATTACCTTTTGCACATATTCTTCACGTTTCTCGTGGTCCGAGATAAACTTCTGCAGTTTGTCAGCCAACATTTGATTCTCTTCCCGGAGTTTATTATTTTTCTCCAAATAATCGTTCAATTGGGCTTGAATTTCGTTAATTCCACTCTGAAACCGGTCAGCAACTTCCTTCCGCTTCTCATCTTCTGACTGCGCCATCGCTATGCTCTGATCCTATGGAAGTAGACAAATCAAAAGGGCAAAGCCATCATACCCTTATCAAGTGATTCTGCTTCTGAAGTTCCCTGCACAAGGCCTCCAACTTTTCCTTCTGCATATTTGCTCGATTAAAGCTGTCAAGGTACTGATCACGCTCGGCCGCAACCTAAAATTCTCATACACATTCTGCAATTATTATCAAAGAACTCCAAAAACTCAATAGTAAGGAGAGAGAGTTCTTACAGACAAAATGCGTCTGTCCGTAAGCTTGAGCTTTGAACTCATGTCACTGTTTTCAGAATTAAGGATTTGAAACTTCCTATAGAGTGCAATAAGTTTATCTTCATCGCTTGCATCCTCTGGAATAGTACGTAATTCATTAGCTACAAAATCTGGGATACAAGTTAGCATTCCAAACCTATAAATTTGAGTTCGCGTTTGCGCTGCTTTTTGGTCAGACCAAGGACATTCTTTTGCTTTTCCTCTTCTTGTCGCTGTTTCTCATCGACATTTTCAGTGGCAGGTTCCTCAGTTGCCATGTTATGCGCAAACCAATGCCAGAACTAACACAACCCAAAGTAATTGAGAGTTCCGCATATCTGTTAGCAATACCCATAGCAGGCAATGAGAGCAAACGATAGATAATATTTTTGAAGTTACACTAAAAATAGCGCATATACTCAGAAGCAAATATTTTTCAATTAACCTTTATCGTTTTGATTATTTATTGAATACATTATAATGTCAATCGCAACGAATTGCGCGTTTTCCTCATAAGCCTTTATGCGGAATTCCGTAAAGGAGGTAAGGACAAAATATACCTTCCACTGGCTTAGGAAAAGGAAAAATGGTGGGATAAGTTCATATATAACAAGATAGTTTCGGCGACTCAAAATGTCTTGTAGATTGGTAGGAGACACCATAATTATCACCTGTGTCACGACTATTCCAAACAGCTTTCTTGAAATTTCCTGACTACATCGTTAGTAATTTGATTTGTCACAAAATGACCAGCCTCGAATTTTGCAAAGGGTTAATTCACCTACTGCATTGAAGAGAGTATGAAATTTACCTTAAGTGAATTATGAGCCAACTGTTTTTATAGTGTGGAAACCAGCACTTCATTGCCGATTCGCCAATTTTGTCGCTGCAATATATTCCAATGGTTGCAGAGAGCGAATGACCTGTCAGCTTAAACGATGAAGACATTTGAATTATGATTGTTGAGGTAGGTTTGTCCATACATTGGTACTGATCGTGGTAAGGGTACCAGGACCGATATCCCCTCCCATTATTGTGCGAAACCGCTTAGTCTCGCAAGTGGAGGATAAAGTTGTTGATAACCTAATGACACCTCCACCCACGTGCACACCCTTCCTCAGAGGCTCAGCAGCATCGCGTCAGAGCACATAGACTAGCCCCTCAAATTGTACCACTGCTGTCAGTCGATTGTCAAAATTGGTAAAGCCAAAATGATAAATACTCCAAAGAAGTCGACCCGAGCGAAGAGCCACCCTCAAGAAGCCTTCATGAGCCCTACCACCACTTACACAGGCATAAACGAGTCAGCACCCACCCAGTGATACAAGAAATACGATAATCCCCAACACTTTATAGGATCTTTACGCGTCACCACTTTTGCGTCATTTTCGAACATCCCCTGCTTAACAGGGATTGCAAATGGAAAGCAGAGGAGGGGATAAGGAAGTACCAGGCGGGGAAGGACAGAGGAACAAAACAGGATGTGTAATAAAGGACTGTGAAAAAAATTGAAGGTGGGAGGGAGAGAAGGAACACGAAACGCCTGGGTGCTGACAGCAGGAGAGCAGTGAGAGATGGGGACGAGCGGCGGCAAAACCACACACAGACAATAGACAGAGAGGTTTCTGTACACAAACATCCGACGCGTCAACACATTTCCCAGCGTCCTTTTAATCCGCTTTTCCTAGGCACTTGGGAGCAGAACGAGAGACCGACATGTGAGACGGAGGAGGGAGCATTTCCGTGCGTGTGTGGTGGAAGTAGCGAAGTGGGAGGAAGTGTAACAGGCGGTTGTCGTGTCTCTGTACAGCAGGGATCGAGAACAAATATTTCAGTCGAGCCGGCGAAGACCAGTCCAAGCGTTCGCCGTGGTTAAGGGTGTGGTGCAGTCGCTGCATAGTCAAAAGTAGGAACAGAGGGGGCGGATGATTCGACGGGGTTCCAGTGGGAAGAGGAGTTTGTTGCTGCCGGCGTTGCGGCAGGATAACCCATCGCGCCTGCACCGCCGGCTGCACCAGGGGCGGCCGCAGCCACCGCCGCAGCCGCGCTGTTTTGATAGTGCGGATTAGGAGCGGCCGATGGTGCTGCAGCATTATGATGGGGATGATGAGTGTTGTTCGACCGTCCAGCGCCGTACTGACCACGGAAGAGAGCTGAATTCGTAGCGTAGTTGGCGTATATACCTGTTTGTGCCAAAAAGCGATTTAAGACAGAGACACAAGTAAATGAGAACAGATGGAGCCGGGGAATATTAGCACCTTTCGATGCTCTCAGCCCTGACGCCACATAAACATTAATACAAGTGCGATTGTTATGGTCACATGACTCCAAGTGTGTACAATTAGGCTAGTCCATGAAACTGAAATCACAACCTGAAAGCTTTGCGATCATGAGCACAAAGTAGAGAAAGCATAGAGTCCTGTGCATGAATGAATGCGCGCACGTGCAAGCAAAGATATGTCGATGCTCACGGAGATGTAGTGAAAGTACGCAGACTAGACAAATGCATCATTAAATGAATTGTAACATAAAATCACAACAAATGCTTGTCTTTAAATGATACATATGCAAAACGGGGAAAAGTGACGACTAAATAGATCTAAAAGGCATGGATCGCAAACTCGCCATAACCACCGGCTGCAGTGTTGGGGTTAGCTGCGGCGCCAAAGTATTCATAACAGCCGTAGTATCCGCCGTAAGCATAAGGATCCAAACTGGCGTATGCGTTGGAATAATCTCCATAAGGATAGGGAGCGTAGGCAGCGTAAGCTGGATCAATGTAGCCGAGGCACTTCATATCTACAAAGGAGGTCAAGAAACGGTTTAACTGCTTTATAGACTAAAGAATGAGAGAAGAGCACTCACTCTTGTTCTTGTTCGCCTGATCCTTTGTCACCGCAACCCGTACGTCGCACTGAAGCAAGAGGAAAACGCATCCTGACCATAGAACAAACTGAGGTATCAATAAAAAAGCAAATCCAACGATAGAGATACGAGACTAAGACAAATAGCTGGAAATGTGGCAGTTGTATGCATGGCTTTGACTTACAAACCCAGAATAATTTGGCAAACAAAACAGGAATGAAACCACAAGTACCTCAAATGAAAGAGAGTACTGACAGCGAATAACATAAAAATTACAAGGGCTACTCAAAAGCCTACCAAACGACCGTGAATCTCCTGCCTCTCCTTGGCTATGGCTTTACGAGCAGCAGCTTCAGTGGTGAAGCTGACGAATATATAATGCTTTCTCTTCCCTTTTTGCAGATCGTAAGGCAGATCAAGGGACTCGACCTAACGATATTAATTCCAGACAAACACTTGACTAACCTGTCCGAATTGGCCAAAGTATTCTTTTATTCTCTCCTCAGTGAGCTCAGGATCTATGCCCCCAACAAATATTTTCTTCATGGCTTCACGGGAGGGCTTAGCCCTTTTGGGGTCAATCCTTTTCCCCATAAGCTTATGCTCAGGAACACTGAGAACTTTATTCACTGAATCCTCGTTTTCAAAGGTAACAAAACCAAAGCCTCGAGAGTTCCCCGTAAAACGATCAATCTTTATGATACATCGCGTAACATTGCCCCACTGGGAGAAATAAGACTGAAGATCCTCTACCAAAAGTGTCAAAAAGGAGAAATATTAAATACCGCTAGTAGTTTCCCAGTTTAATCCACCAACAAATAGCTTTCTATGATAAGAAATTAAAATATGATTGACATGATTACCGGACATCATCGTCCGACTCAGACTGGGCAGCAGCATCACCCGATCCATCCGGATGCTTTTCGACAGCGTTATTCTCCTCAGCTGGAGGCGAATCCTCCTTCATATCATCAGATTTTTCAACATCATTCACACATTCCTCCGTACGCTCACCTGATGCGTCCATCATCCGTGTGGCAATACTTAATGGTGGCTATTTTCAAGCGTTTCCAGAATTAAAACAAATTAACTTAAGTCCATTTGCTAAGAGCTCGAGATAAGAGAGCTTTTCACGTATGGAGGATTAGCAAGTAATAATAAAGTGTGTGCCGAATGTTTTAGTACATGATTAATCTTATTAATAACTGAGCATTTATACTCCTTATTGCAACTATAGAAGTTTTTTAACAAAAAATCTTTCGTCATATTTTTTTTGAAATTTTTGCGCGATAAGTGCACGAAGGCTGCAGTTATAATAGTGATACGAAATCCTAATGATCAGTAGATGCCTGTCTATGACGTGGCATGACACATACTCAGAATTTTTACTCTCTATTTTTCGGAATATACAAGTGTAATTGTATCCTCTCTGAAATTCCCCTTAGGCATAAGAATGCATTATGGCCAAAATACATGTGTAATGGGAAGAAGAACACGTATATCCCGGGAGCCCTAAGACCCAGCCTACGCGTACAAAATCCGAACAAAAGCCATGCATCAGGTGGTCATATAAACAAGATATTATGGTTGCATTGCCTTCTTATTGTGGCCACCTAACGTCTGGCCGTCACTTTAAAGTTTGCCTACTCCTAGTAAGCGTGGGATCGCCTTCGGGCCATACTCAGATTTCGTCGCTTCGTTGTCTTTGAAATAATACCTTCCGCCGTGTGGGATTTCTCAGGGCGCTACAATAGTAGCTTCACGAGTCAGTTTATCAAGTGCAGTGAGTCTGGACGCGAGTAGTTTAAGATGAAGCGGGAAGTGACTGAGCTCTGGATTGGCCAAAATGCCAGTCAACGCTCGTAAGTGAGGTGTGTGCAAGAGTAATCCCCTCGGTTTTGAAGACAGCCAACAAATCATGGCACTTCACTGATCCTCGTTCATCATAGCGACTGTAATGCCTTGTTTATGCGACTATCTGACGTTTGGCGGTGACTTTAGAACTTGTCTGGGCCCTGTACACGTGGGCTAGCCTTCGGGTTACGCTCAGGCCCCATTTCTCCTATTGCTTCCGGAATACATGTATTCAACCTCACTTATGCCTTCTACTAGCCCATTTGGAGCCTCGGGACGCTACACTGGTGGCAGC